TATCAAATCAGGGGGAAGAATGTGCTTCGAGTGCAGTCAACAGCTAGTGTGGGGATTTCTTTGTGTGCTTGTTTGGGTTTGTTGTTCTTTTAAAATCTCTGGTTTTCAGTTCATTTGTGCATTATGGTAGTTTACAGTTATGAAAAGAGTAACTAGTTCAGTACATGTATCAGTGTTCTCTATTCAGGGAAGAAGATGCTTCTGAAATTAGACTTTAACCTATAAGGATGTAGAAATGATAAATGAAAGTCATACCATTGTGAGTAGTCTCCTGCATGATTAATTACCTCTCCTGTTCTTACTCTGAACTTATTCTCTTTTAGGAAACTTTGCTTAAATTGTTATTGCATTTATTATAAACTCTTGGCTCAATGGTATTCCTGAACTTTTGTTTAAGAGGCAACCTCAGAATTTTAATGGTTTTAGTGATTACTAATTCAGGGAAGCATGCTAACAGTTTTTTCCCCTGAAGAGATTCTGCTTTTAATTTTTTATATAGTGAAAGTTTTAGTAAGTTTTGTTCAAAACTGTGGATGTTTTTGTATAATCCTTATGCTTCCATTTGCCTCTTCTTCAGTTCTGACCAAATCTTTTCTGTGGAAGTGAGAATTATTGCTTTCTGTTGTCATAGAAATAGCTCTTCCTGATAGCTGTGTGCCCGACGTAGCATACAGCAGATGAGGCATTATATTAGCTGATATTTAAAATGTATGCTTTTTATAGGGAGTGAAAGCTTATTGCATTGTGTGGCATGATTAATCTTTTCAATACAAGGCTAAATCATAGGTTCCAGTCAGACACAGTGATTATTTTAAGTGTCATCCTAACTAGGATGAGTGTCATCTTTTTCTTTCTCAGGTTCCTGTAGGGTGTTTATTCCTTTTGGTGTCCTTGGCTGTAGTGCATTTGGGATTGAAAGGTTGCTTATGGCTGAACATCAGTGCCCACCACAAAGTCTTCCTTTAACTCCTGTTAACACATTAGGAAATGCCTGAATATATGCTCAGAGGGCAGGTTTGGTGCTCAATGGCAGGAGTTGAGTTCTCTCTTTGCACTTCATCCAAAATCCCCTGAA